TTTTGCTTCAGAGCAGCTTTTTGAAAAAAAATCTCTGAAAACGTTTGTTTTTCGTATCTAACATTTTATGATGATTCGTGGATGATAAGGACTCGTGTAAATATTCATCTTTTATCCAAAATGAAAATTAACGTCAAATTTCGCGACAAACATCATTCATCCAACTCTTTCAAATATCATAATTTGATCTAACTAATATTTGTTTGGTGTTTCAAACAACTCACACTATCCCAAGTAAAAAATCCTGATTGCAGATCTTGATTGAAACTTAAAAGATTGCTTAAGTTTCTGTTCAGTTCTTTCAAGATCCTATGCAGATTTACCGATATCTGACAAGATTGTGCATCTAGTTTACCTATAGAATTCAAGATCAGACCCTCTATAATGTAACGGGTGGCGCAGAATAAAACGGACTATTTTGTTTCCTCTATAACTTCGTCAGTTTAAATCTGATCGGGTCAATTTTTTCTCATCAGAATCGTCATTCAATTCTCCACAAAACCATGTGTAAAAGATTTTTGTAAACTACAACATGGCTAAGTTTTAAAACGAAGAAAAGAGATCCGAAAATCTTCAACTTTCCAGCTCAAAATGCATTAACATTTAGAGTATGTTTCGACAATTAATGCACAGGCTTAGATTAAGGAAGAAAGATTTGCTGGCATTTTCAAATACGCTCTTTCCGATATCCTTGAAAATATTTTGTTTGACAGTGGCCTTCGCCTATTAAATCGGTATTTTCCGAAAACTCGTCCAAAACGCCTTAATTTGGGTTTTCACGAAAACCTAGCGCAAACAAAACTTTGCATGACTCGAACGAGTGTACAGTTATGTAGTCGAGTGTACTAGCTTTCAAAGAAAAAAATCGTCAAAAAGTAGCGCTTTTTTACTGAATGGCATGCGTTTTCGTGCAAGCATCAAAAACATGAAATGATAGTAGAGCTTCTTTTGAAAAAAGCGGAAAAATTTGATGCTAAACTTTTTACTCATTTTTTGATCAAAAAAATTCTTAAAGACATGAACCTTGGCCAAAATTTGATGCTCTTTAACATGGTCAACTTAATTTTTTCGTAGCTCTCAACATGATTTGTGCTTGAAAGGTGAAGATTTTCGGATCTCTCTTCTTCGTTTTAGAACTTAGCCATTTTGTAATTTACAAAAAATCTTTTACACATGGTTTTGTGGAGAATTGAATGACGATTCTGATGGGAAAAAATTGGCCCCATCAAATCTAACTGACGAAGTTATAGAGGACACAAAATAGTCCGTTTCATTCTGCGCCACCCGTTAGTACCACAAAGAATATCAATATGTGTGAAATTCTTGCAGTTAACGTTCTCTCACTTACCTTATCCAAATATGGAACTAATTTTTCTAATTAGTAATTACATTAATGAGTTCAGAAAAGTTCTCAAGTCTTTTTACATTCAAGTCTTAATACAGAATTCTGAAGATATGTCAGATTCGGATCCATAGTAAATCGAGATCAAGAAATTTTCAAGAAGCAGAACCTTTAAAGAACTTCCACAGATTTTGACTTTCTGCAAGATATGGGTATTCAGTGCAAAGGCTATAGACGAACATTCGTTAGCGGCCGTATTACTCCGCCTGTAAATCACTGTCGTAGAAACACAATTCTGGCTTGTTGTATACCTCATTCTTGAAGGCAAATGTTGAGTAACAATAAAGAGTGTTAGGATTCTCTGCACCTTTTCTTCTATACGAATACTTGTTTTTTATAACTTATATACATTTTCCGGCTTCGAAAAACGTACGTTATGCATATTAGGTTCGCCTCCATAAATTTGATGTTTCTATAATTTATTTATTGGAGTAAGTTATGTGTACCATTTACCTTTTTGCGCAAACGTACCTGCTTATAGAGAAAAGACCGTATTTGTTTGTCACATGGTACTTGTAATACATACAGGATTGGAAAGAAAGTAAAATATATAAGGTACCATCCATTAACCTCTTACGTCGTGAGCAATTTCGGTTCATGATACAAACATCAGATGTTTTTTGTGAATAAATCTTTTTACACGAGTCCTTATCATCCACGAATCATCATAAAATGTTAGATACGAAAAACAAACGTTTTCAGAGATTTTTTTTCAAAAAGCTGCTCTGAAGCAAAACACAGCGAACATTTTTCGTACAGAGTTTTTTCCATCAATATTTAATACACTCATACACAAACAGATGTAGTTAGACGCGCTAATTGAGAATATACCATCTGTTTTGATGAGTTCTAACAGCGAAAGTGAATTTTACGTAAGAAACCTTGAGCTTTTAGCAATTTACTGGGAAGTCTAGTGGCAGGTATACATCGGTATGTTAAACCTATAAGTAACTTAGAGAACTGTTGGAGGGGTAGGAAATCGAGAGAAACTTGTTGCACTAAAGGTGTGTTTGGGGAGGAAACTTTTAAGTACGAAAATAAATTATCTTAGACGTCCAAGGTCCAAGATTATAAAATTATATATAGTCTTTTATATACGTTTTGAAGCCGGACGTAAATCGTATAAGATTTTATTTTTAGTATTACAGAGGAAAAATGCGTCTCAACTAGGAATCGAACCCAGAATCCTCTGATTACAGGCCAGAAGCTCTAACCACTGAGCTATCCAAGCACAGTCTAATCGCATTAATTAAACGTATATAAAAGACTATATTTAATATAACATATATGCTTAAAAAAGCAATACATGATCACTCTTCCAGTAATTCTAGTCCCTAACAGGAAAAAGTACAAGTGAGTTGCGGCCTTCGTGCTTAAAAAATGCTTCCACTATGGATCTATCATATACTACAGAGGAAAAACCACCGAATTTTACTTTTACAGCACAAACCTGTTTATTATTTAAGAATACATTTCGAGACTAAGCAAATTTGTTCTTATGTTACTTTACGTTTCATATGATTGAGCAATGAAAAAGAGAAAAATAAGTAATCAGAAAGAAAGAAAGAAAAGTGAGGTGTAGAACGTGGATGCTATGGTGACGGTCAAGAAACGTATATAAATTTCTGCCCTCATCCTTGTACTTTCTTACGCTAAGCAGTCACGAGTAATGTGAACTGAAAACAACTGAAAGCCCAAATACTATTACTAATAATACATATCAGGCCATTTTGGATAAGCAGAAACAATTACAGGTAGCGTATACTGTCCGTTGATCTTTTTAGGGTTGGTTGCTAGATTTTCGGACCGTCCATTATATTCCCAATTAGCAATTTCAATTATTACTGTATCATGGGAGAAGTTATATCCACAATTGACTCGCAATTTAATGATTTACCATCACCAAATCAACCAAATCTTACACACCAAGCCCCATTTATAGCAGAAAAATCAGATATTGACCTATTTTTACCATTGAAAAATGCCGAAGATACAGATAAAAATACCGAAAGAAAAGGATCTAATGAAGAAACGTTCACCCAAGAGACATTAATTAAACAAGTGCGAACACATTTATTTACGTTAACTAATCTACAAGAGTTTAATGTAGTGGATGCACGTATAACAACAATAATTCAACAAACTGTTACTACTATTGATAGTACAAATACTATTACTAATAATACATATCAGGCCATTTTGGATAAGCAGAAACAATTACAGCTAGCGTATACCGCCAAGCTAAAGGATGACAAATTGGAGATGCAAACAGTAAGTTCTTCAGTGTTTGAACGTCTGTTCGTGGATAGTAAGATACACATTAACTCAGGCAATGACAAAGAAACATCAAAAGACAATTTACTTAAACATCAGACGCAGCAACCATCAGATATAGTGTTAAAACCGTTCTTATCAATACTACTTGTATTAGTTAAATCTGTACAGAAAACAGATTCTGGCATTGTCTATCAAATACTAGCAATCACGAAACAGTTTATAGAACAAATACCTGTCAAGTATTTCGCTATAGACGATTTTAAAGAAACAAATTTCATTACATTATTGAAACCACTATCAACCTATGTAAGAGAGTTATCTGTACAAACAATTGATGTAAATGTAGCGAAACAAGCTACTGAAATATTACTGAGCACTGCTATAGCTAAAGCATCATTAATGGACTTATTACCTTTATTACCAAAACTAATATTTAACACAGATAACATAACTGTTGATAATGTTCATAGTTTAGTTTTAAGATTGAATGAAGTTCTGTCATCCACTGTAGATGAAGAAATCTTAAAGAAATTACGTACGGAACTGAATAAGGAAAATAACGAACCCATACCACAAGAAACAATGACTATTACCACCGACACACAAGAAGAACACTTAGAAATCTCTAATCCGTTGGAGCATACAGAAGAGGAAAATCAAGAACAAACAAAATTTAGAAAAATCATAACTAAAATACATGCACAAAGAGAAACACAAACAGATGTATGTACTTGTTTTGAAGCAAATCCATTAGAGTATTTAAAAGCTCTGAACTTATTAGCAATCGACAAAGGTCTAATGGCATTAGATGAGAGTCAAGTCCCTACAACATTCCTAGCATCAGTGTTATTAGCATACATAGATTTACATAATGAACTTAAATCAACATCTACTTGGGAAACTGGATCAGTAGACAATTCATTTTCATTTTCATTTCATCCAAATACATTTAGGCAATTATTTAATATTATAAAGAATTTGAGTTTTATACAATTATCAGGCTGTACAGCGTACATTCTCGTTGCTTGTTTAAGATTATTTACGACACATTTAAAATTTTTAATCAAATCAGATCTCGATACTACTGAATTTATTTCAGATACAGAATTACAACAATGGAAAGAATTTATGTTACGATTGATTACAGAAAATGATATTAAAATAGTTGATAATAATCAACTATCTGTTAAAATTCTTACAACTGTACGTACAGAAGCTTCCAAAGCATTTATTTATTTACTTGAAAAGTTAACGCCATTAAACGATAAACTTCAATTTATTTACAATTTTATAGTGGATAATAAACATCCAATTTTAATTCAATATTTCTTAATTTATCTACATGATCATGTAACTTTAAAAAAATGGATTGAGTTATTATCGAATGGTGAATTAAAACAAGAAAAACATATTGAAAAAAGAAAAGAGGAATCAATTCGTATACAAACTCAACAAAGTACATTAACATTATTATATTCATATATTGATATTTGCTTGCAGCCAAACCATATTCAAGAACAAAAAACAGTTAAAGGTGAAAAAGTGACATTACATCAGGTGTTTCTATTATTTCAAGAGTTATTATTCGTTGCACTCAACAATGAATTAACTTCTGTATCTGTTGATACAGATGATATAGTTGATATTGATTTACTGCCAGTCTCCGTACTAGTCATAAATTACGTTACACGAATATTAACTATAAGTACAGAAACTACAATTGTGTGTAATTTATTGCAACCAATACTAATTGGTTTATGCGTATTAACACATACAAAGTTCAATTTTACAGTTATTCAACCAATATTTACAGCTATTTCACCATTATTAGTTGAATATTTACTATGCAGTGCAAATACGAATAATACAAATACATATATAACTTCTTGGTTATTAGGCAAAATCAGTAATATGATGTTGAATGGTAAGAAAATACATACATTAGAAAAGAAACATTTTCATACATTGAATTGGCCATTATTTGGTGGTGGTAATGAAATAACGTCAAATAATAATAAACACATCGTCGATTTATTACAATCGAATCTAAGCAAATATTTACAAATTGAATTGCCTGCATTACAACCAACGAATAAAAGTGATATTGATTTTTTAATGTCAATTTACAACAACGTTAACGATGGTGCTCAATTATTGTTAAGATTAAAAATCTTTGTTAAAAATAAACAACAATTACAAACATCGATTGTAACAGAAGCAAATGAAGCTACTGCAGCGTTATTTGCTGTTTATGTAAAACATTATCGACGAATAGAATTAGCTAAAGATGAATGTCGGATAGATACACACGTTAAACCTAATAGTAAATTAATTTCTCTTTATCAATATGCCATTCAGATTCAAACATTATTTGCTACAACAAAAGCTCAAGGTGGTGATTGTAATGAGCTCTATATGAAAATTAAAAGTAACACGGCGTTTTTATTATCATCCATTAAAGAAAATCATTTTATACCGTTAATTAATGATATGAATTCAATCACAAGTGTAAATGACGAATTGAGTTCAACACCAGGAACTTCTACTTCTAATTCAGGTCTAACACCGAGAATTATGTTTAAACGACAAATTTCTAGATGGACAAAAGCAAAATCCATATTGAGACTACTTCGTAACACAATGACAGCCATTATTCGATTGAAAAAATTGATGTTAGCACGTAAACAAGGAGTAAAACAAAAACAAGACAATGAAAGCATACTAAGTAGAAATATTAACACATTTATTTATGAATATAAAAATATATCAATAATAGAACAAAAATTAGAAGCAGACGAATTACTTGAATGTATGGAAAAACAATATGAACGTGCAATTACAAGACTAATTGGATACAAATTTATTGAAAGATTTATGAAAAAAGTATTGAAAATTGAAAATAATCGAATGTATACGATTCTATCTGCCTATCTACCACATTTAAGTCATATAAATGTAGATTGGCACTACTTACAAAATATTGAAACCTCAAATGTATTGTTGAAACAAAAAATTGAAAAGACATATTATTCAATTATCAATGAAAATATACAATTCGTATCACCATGTCTATCCACATCAGCACTATCAAGAATATTAATATTATATTCATTTAATTTACTTAATTTATCGTATAAATCTAGCGATCTATCTCAGATCTCTAAAACTCGATTAATCAAATATGTATTTAAGTTTTTCAGTTTTATTCAGAATAATGATGTTACTTGGGATATTAAACTTACTTCATTCAATTGGTTTAGAATGTTAATATTTCAACTATCCGATATTATGGTAATGGAAGAAAAAAATCATACTAGTGTTATTCCTGCATTACAACGATTACATGACCATATATTTCACAAATTGATATTAAATGAATTACACGACTTAAGAAAGTTAAAACAGTCCACTTTAAATATAGATACTAGCAGTACAATGCATGAAAATAGTCATTTACAGGATGCTGAGTTAGGCTGGTTTAATGCAAACAAATCGGCTATCACTGTTCATGATACAACAATACCAAACCAATCACAAACAGAGATTGACATCTATACAAATCAGTTGCTAGTACTCTTACTTAGATGTGTACATTTGTATACTCATGTCCGATATAGTTGCTCAACATCTGCCTATATTCAAGAATTACTTTATATTTATAGTAATAGTCTTAACAGTGTTAGTATTACACTTTCATTGAAACTATTACGTGAATTACTCAGTTTATTGCCTCCAGATAATCATTTAACATTTACATTGAAACCACATGAAACAGTGAATGTAAAGGAATTATTACTAACATTTTTATTCACTATTGGTGCTAGTTGTTTCCAAATATGTGATAATAACATTAAAATTGATTCAGGTACAGTAACAGAGTTAATATATGTATATAGAACACTAATGTCGGCACGTTCATCGTGGCAAATGTTAGCAATACAATTAATCGTGAATGTTATCAAATCAAGTATAACATTGATTGAATCGATTAAAACAGTAAAATCTAGCGAATTAAATTATTTTTTAGCATCTTTATGTGTACTAGGCGGTCATGTTCAGTCTTATCATGAAGGATGTATAGTACATGTCTATGAAAATATGAATAATGATAAATATAAAACTGCAGTCATTATGTATATTAATACTCATTGTCAAGATTCGAATACACCTAATCCATCACCCTATTTGATTCAATATCCAATAACAAATAAAACCGAATGGATTACTGCAGATAAATTATGTGTAGAAACATCAGTTCCTGTACCTAATTTATTACCTTTATCAACGATTTTAGCCCATACAGACACTGCTACATTTAAGAACGCAGAAACAAACGCATATATATTAACCAATATATTGGGTTTAATCATAAAGACATACACAGTGACAACTGATGATTTAACATTACTACAAATTAGACGTCGTTGTGTTGCAGCATTGTCACATATATTAAATAACAAAATATCGATAGAAGTATTTATCAGTAAACGATATGCACCTGTTGTTGCACAGTTGGCATTATCAGGTTATATGAACATTGATTCCAATAGTGCTATGCTTTCTGATTTACGCTTGATGAACAAAATACATTGGGAACAGTACAGTTTAAGTCTAGACACGTGTGTAAGACTGAATCAAGTGCTGGACAATGACGCAAAAACAGTCGACATTGATGGTGATAAAAATGCTACTGCTGATACAGTAGTCGATTCACATGACTCACCAATTGCAACAGAGCTAATTGAATCCAATTGTCGAGTGTGGAATCGAGACATAGATGATTTTGTATATAATCCGTTAGTGTACGAAACTGTATCCATTAATTCAGATAAATACCATGGTTGGAAAAAATATGCAACTGCAGCACAGATACAAATATTTAAACATGGCAGCATTGGAAGTGATGAAATCAGAATTGTATCATTTCCGGGTGAAAATAATGGGAAAATATCTGAATGTGGTAATAAACATAAATTTAATGGTAAAATTACTGGAAGTGGAAAATTCGCTACATATTTAGTTGAAGATGTCCGATTAAATAAAGGTAATTGGTATTATTGTGTTATGTTGAATAGCAGTGAAAAATATACTCAAGTAGGTTGGGCAACTGAAGTTTTCGTTCCCGATTCAGAAAATAATCTTGGTGTCGGTGATGACGAGTATTCATGGTCTTACGATGGTTCATGCGGTACTTTATGTCATAATAAAGAAGAACGTTTTGCAGAGTCTATTGAATGGGCATCGGGTGATGTTTGTGGATGCGGAATTGAGATTGATGGAGAAAATACAGTAATTAAGTATTGGTTAAATGGTGAATTCTTGGGTACTGCATTTTCCAGTATATCAAACACTAATATAAAGTCTGTATTTCCATGTTCTTCAATGTTACCGGATGAAAAACATACAACATTCTTTCCCGCTTTAACTGTCGGCAATGGCTGTTGTGAATTTATATTTAGTCCTGAGGACATGGAAAAATGTCCATTGCCAGAAGGCTATAAGCCATTATTAATTCCGTCATTAATTAATACAGAAAATACATTAGTAGCTTATCCATACAATGCATATCTAGTTGGTGATCAACCCATAAATTATTTCCATACTCTGCGTCAACAATCTGATTTAGCACATCAGTTTCTACGTGATTTTGTAAATGGCGAACATATTGAAACCACGTCAACATTAGAAGATATTAATATGGAACAACAATTAAAAGTGCCAAATACTGGTATTTCTTTATCTATTGACACTAATATTGATAACAAAACATTAACTGCATTTACAATTAGCTTTGATTTTGAATTTGCAACTATATCTGAAATGAATGTTGATGAACGTATTGTTAAGTTACTAACATTAGACACCGAATCATACACAATACCAATGACGTTGAACGAATCAAAGGAAGAAAATGATATAACATATAAAAATAAAAATATCTATCATGTTTGTATGATATTTCAGTTAGAACAACGACTAAAAATCTATGTAAATAATGACTGTAGAATACTTCCCTGTACTGCATTTGATATCAGGAAAAAGAGTCTGAACATATGTATATTACCTGAATTGGCGGGTGTGATTAAAAATATTGGTATATGGAGATATGCATTGAGTGAGCAACACATTCAAAGATTATTCACTTACAGTTTATTCTATGTTACAGTTGATTATCAGTTATTGCAACAACATAAAAGGCAAAGCAATACAATAAATTTTAAACAACCACAGTTTCCACGTGAATTATTACCGTTTACTGGGCCATTTGATCTTGAAATGTGGGATAAAAAAAAGAGGAGTATTGATACGTATGAATTCAAATATTTCAGACTATTAACTACCAATACTGTTGCAGATACTGAATATGCAATACAACTATTTGGAAATAATAGTTATTTAGTATTAGATAAATCACCTGTTGATGATTGCTTAAACGTAAACGAAAGAACTGACACGAAATTTGCACCAAAATTACTATGTATATGGACAGAATACACAATTGTTATGGACATCAAAATACCAAGTTCATCTATAAACGAAAGAACAATAATTGAAATAGATGGCGATGGAGTGGATGAATCTCCCAAAGCAATTGCATCAATGGAAGAAGAGGCTATTAATTCAACTAATTCGAATGTGGACCTTTCGCAGATGAATGACAGTTCTCAAACTGTATGCTGTAACAAATCTAAACTAATTTTCGGTATATTAACATTACTCCGAATAACAGAAGATCACGCGGTCTATATTACGAGTAAGCTTAAACTTCGTGTTTCAGATGTTGAAAGTGAAACGACATTAAAATTGGATGAATATTTCCGTCTAGTTATTTGTAAACAAGGTAATAATATTCGAGTTTATGTAAATGGTATATTAGAACTAAATGCGCTTGTTGATGAGCATACATACGATTTGAAAGAACAATGTATTTATTTATTTAAAGAAACCGATGTTTCGAATAAGACTGTTGGAGATAATGTTCGAATTGAATGTAAATCAATCACATTTAAGAATAAATGTATCGATCAATTGTTACCTGAATTAAAATCAACTGAATATCCGTTACATCAGTTTGTCTCATTACCATTTGCAGTATTGTCAAATAATTTAATTTCAATAGGTTATAAAAAGCATTGGATAAAATCCATTATGGTACAATACGATACATGCAATATTCAATTAATCGATACATTGATACGTCAGCAAATGCAACAACTATTGAATGCAGACAAACATCTACAACATAAAGATAAAGTGAATTTATTGTGTAGATTAGGTTCTCACATAGATAAAGAAAAATTAAATGATTTTACAATGTTTTCAAAGCTTGATACTGATATGGCTGACGTATGTGTACAAATGTTAGAACATTGGGATGAACTACAAATTGAGAGCATATCGGCACTAAATATCGCGAAAGAGCCAGATGTAGATTTAGAAAAATTCATTGATCATGATGATAATGATACGGTTGAATTGTACAGAGAAACAAGATTCAAACCTGGATGGTATTTAAAATGTGCAGTTAGACTAGGTATACACGATGATATAGTGGAGTGGACACAAGATAAAACTGAGCAAACAACTAATGATCAGATAGATCCGCTTTGTAGACTCCTAGATTTGAGTAAATCTGAAGAAAATGAACAATCAAATGAAAGTGAGATAAAAGCGCGATGTAAATACACACAAAAATTCATTCAACACTCAAATCAACAACTTACACGTAAACAATATGTTAATTCACGTATTGTATCTGAAACAGGATTAACATCAATATATGCGCGTGATACAATATTGAATATGTTGAGAGTTTGGACTAATAGTGGTGATAAACCGAATCGTTTATTTCCACAGCAAGAATTTGATGAGTGGGGTTTTGTTAAATTATTACGATTAATGAGTCATCATTATATGTATACGAGTCTTAGTTCTGATGAAACTGTAGATCGAATGAAACTCTTTACGAATTCAATTGCTCAATCTGAAATCGAAGAATTAATAAAGCAACCGAACAAAATCACACGTAAAATATTAAAAACAACAGCACCATTGCTACATCATTTACAAATAGATATTATTAAACAATGTGTTCAGTTTTCTTTGCAACCAACGTTATTAAAAACGACAGACGAGAGATCAGATGAAAAAACAGTAATTACACAACCTAATTTAAATTTCGTATTACAAATATTGAAACTATTTCTGGAGTTAATTAAAAATGCAAAGAAAAATCATGTAGACTGTTTAATATCAACTCTCTTTCCCGAACTATTAATTAATTTATTGTTTGATTTATTTTTATTAGTCTCTACGCATAAATCAAAAGTATTCATTCTACATGTATTTACAGTACTATGTGAGAGGGCTGATAATTTCAATTTCAATACAAATATTCAACAGTTTTTTATTCACTTTCTTCAGTTTGCAACAGATAAGAGTTTAAATGATAATCTTTCATTTAGCAGTTTACGATTTGCAGTAATAGAATTATGTTTTGTATTAAAATCAAAATCAAAAGAAAATCAACAATTTGAAGAAAAAATGAATTTTGATGAATTAAAACAAGATGAAACAAGTAAAGAAACAAAACAACAATTGGAACATGAAAAATGCTTTAAATACGTTGAATCACTACGTAATATATCGACAGTAATAGATATAATAAAAGCATTAATAGATAAAAAAAAGCAAATATTATTTCCAAAAGAATTTATTGCAGAGTCAAGTTCTTATGAAGTTAAATTTACAGAAGAAGAAATTAACAATTCCAATACACTTTTCAGTAATGCTGCAGATATGCAATTAATCGATTTTATGAATAAAAATATTGATATTGATTGGCTGCCAATACCAAATTCATGTATTGCTGATTTTATTACTGCGTTACCAACTGACTGTACATCTGATACAAAATATGATACATATACATTATTATCTAATATACCTGTAGTCCATATAAGAACACGTGCAAAACTATTATATCTATTCAATATTTTTATTATTAAAGTCTTAGAAGATGTTGATTTAAGTTTGCCAAGTGGTATGAGTATGCTTACTGATACTATTCGATCAACTAAGGCATATATATTATATAATACTAAATTAGGACTTTTTAAGGATGTATTAAAAAAGTCATGTCATACCAAAAATGTTGGAGTTATTACATTAGATATATTGAAAGCAAATACCTCTTCCACATACAAAGATACAATATTTTATCAAGCTTTCAAACAGTTGAGTTCAAATGCACATTTAACATTTCGAAAATCAGAACATGAAAGAGTATGGAATGTAATATATACTGGAATGTTTAGTGCTGATCATGGTGGCCCATACAGAGATTCGATTACTACTATGTGTAGAGACATATGTAGTTCTAGATTACCATTGTTTATTCTATGTCCAAATGGACGAACAAATAGTGGAATAAATCGAGATCGATGGATTCCAAATGTATTTCCACCTCAAATACCAATTTCAAATAGAATAAAAGCTCAATATATATTTATTGGTCAACTTATGGGTATGGCTATGCGGACTAAAAATTTATTAAATTTACAATTTTCTTCACTGTTATGGAAATCATTAGTGTGCGAATCAGTCACTATTGAAGATATTGAAGAAATTGATACACAAAGTTTTACAATTATAAATGAAATGGAAAAAACTTTGAAACAAAAAAGAACTATCAGCGATACGGTTGTTGACAGTGAAGACAAATGTACAGATGATAATAATTTCTTGTTTGATTCTATCATGAATGAATTAAAGTTTGATATTGTCGGTTCGGATACAAAAACATACGAATTAGTGTCAGATGGTTCAAACATTTCAATAACCGCAGCTAATTATAAAGAATATTGTTTAAAATATCGTGAATATCGTTTACAAGAATTCAGTAGACAAACGAACTACATACGACAAGGCCTTTATAGCGTAATCCCATCTGCTATACTAACACTATTCACTGTAGCTGAATTAGAAGACGCTGTTTGTGGTAAACCCGTCATTGATATTGATTTATTGAGGCAACAAACAAAATACACATGCTCTGGCGATGATCATGATACATCATATATACAAAGATTTTGGACTGTATTAAAAGAGAAATTTGATGCAGAACAAAAGAAATTATTCTTAGTATTTGTTTGGGGAAGAAGCACATTACCTAATCGAGCAGAAGATTTTCAATCCAGCTTTACAATTGATAGATTAACTACAGTTGATAATGTTGATCAAGCATTACCAGGTAAATACAATTTAACTACAATTATAGACGTAAAAGCTTGTCGACGAAGACAAAACACCATTTCTGTTTCAAAACATATTTCTTTTTATAAACTGTGATCATAATCTCCAACCAAATTCACGGAAAAGTGTAACTATTCAACTTGTAACTATTGCATCATTAGTACAAGCAGTAATAGAAAGATTTAGTAAAGTGCACTCGTTGTTATCAAAGCGATAAGTTGGCTCCTGTACGACCGGAGTAAGACCATTCAGGGAGAGAAAACTGACTATATTTCAATACCCACAGATGTGCAAACATCACTCGAAAGAAAATAGCTAGATATTTGAGAATAAATTATAGTTATGTAATAGGAAAAGAGTAAGATTAATATTACGAACAGAAGAGTATTGATTATTTATGAATATAAAAATTGAACAAATATTATAAGATCTTAAGAGAATACTGTTTCTTTATGATTCCATGTGCCCAATAATATTGCAACTATCAATAATCAACAATTTCGTTTTGCAGAGCGCAACGAAAACTTTCTGAAAAAGTCATCTTCCACAGCACAATGAACATAACTGTATACAGTCTAACTATATGCTTATTACATATCAAACCTTCATCTGATATAGTACATGTGTTTGTATCTGTTGTAGTGTCTCATACGTGTTTTTTTACTCTTGATTTACCCCCTTATTCAACAACTGAAATAATGTATGAACGTTTAAATTATGCAATTACGCATTGTTCGGGTATCGATGCTGATCACGAAATGAATGAAGCTGATAACAGAATCACAATGCAACAAGATTCAGATGACGAAGAAAATTAATCAATACTAAGAACGTCAAGTAAGTCAGCAAAACCATCAACAAATGCAAATGTGTCATCTAGGTATGCACCGGATCGAGCTACCCGATTTCCAGCTACCCGAAGTTCAAGCTATCCGAAAATTAAAGTCTGTTTTTTTCTGATGGCTAATTTTAATCTGAACTCTTCCTCGCTTTAGTATCTTGCCATAAGAAAAATTTCGTTTCGCACTTAGAGTAAGACATTTTCGATTATTTTTGATTTCGGATAATCGATGTTCGATCGAAATCAAAAATGTTTTACTCTAAGTGCAAAACGAAATTTTTCTTATGACAAGATACTAAAGCGACGTAAGAGTTCAGATTACTTGCGTAAAGTGTAAAATGAAGTTAACATACAAAAGAGTATAAAAGTGTGGAATCCTCTTTAATCTGGAGGCCTGAGAATAACACTCAGCAAAAAAAAACAGACTTTAATTTTCGGATAGCTCGGTTCGAGTTTTCGGGTAACTCAAAGCTCAGTGCGTACCTAGTCATCTCTAACTTCTGCTGAGCATGAGATAGTAGCTGAATGAAGTCATACCTTGTTCTGTCATTCTTTTGTGCAAAGCAGAGGAAGAATTTAAAGATAAATTTCTTTTTTCTTTTTCTACCAGTAGGCGCAGTGAGATGTTCGGACTATCAATACACTTGGTAGCGATGAGGATCATTATGATTCGCAGGAACACCAAATACAAACTGAAGTACTCTTTTCACAATATAATTTAACTTTTTTTCGTCAGAAGAAAAAATTGCAGACACTCAACACATTGTTTTAACACCCATAATAGACATTATGAAGCGCAGTAGGGCTTTATACTCATTAGAGATTTTGCATGTGTGTCCAAAGCAGAGAGCAGATATATCGATCGTCAAAATCTTACTGCTTCCACGTAGAAAGAAGAGGGGGAAAACCGATTTGTCTTCAAATTATTTCTTTACTTTAATAGTTTCTTTATTGATTTTATATTCTTCTTCCAGATGTGAATGAAGGACTCTGATATGAATTAATGCATTTCGATTTAATTGAATGTTAATGAGTACTAAATTTGTCAATAATATGTATTTGAATACAATACAAAATTTTATATATAAAACGTTTTCATTTTGTTCGATGTTTCAAAAAAATATTTGTCATTTTCAAAAAAGTAAAATTGCGTTAAGTGTAAGACAAAAATTGGAAATATGAAGTTCATAGTACATCCTGATATTTTAAATAGAGAGAACTGGACAAATATCTCAGTAGTAGGATAGTGAGAAAATAAATTAAAATAACAATACTGTGGCATAACATAAGAAAAATACTAAGTAAACGAGTTTCGGTGATACAAAATGAAAGATGGGTTTGTGCAATTTGAATGAAGCCATATATGGACCTCCGCTTACCAGTATTAAATTCACTAATAAAAGTATGCTTTTTGAATGAATTGTGAATTTCTTAATAATAGGTGAAAACAGGCGGAAGATTTTGGCGAATTTTTGAAGAACTTGGTTTTCGTTGGATTTTAAAATCTTTTTTTAAGAACAAACATTGCCACGAGATACAGCATCGTCGAAGCATATATTTCCATGCATTCGTGAGATTCATTGACTGCAATGCAGAGCAGTCGTAGGGTTTCCAAGAAAACCTCATGCCCTGCGTAATCATGAGAGCTTAGGTTTTCTTGTGGAGGACATTTTAATTTATCTATTCACGAAAAAAGCTCAATATATTGCTGTGTCGAACCTTCCAGTTAAGAAACGGTTTTTCAGGGATATCCTTGAAAACTGTTTTCTGAAAAAAATTCTAAATATTCTTTGCTTAGGAAAACATGCTCGTAAGAAAATCGCCAGTCTTCATCCATTTTCGCTTAACAGTTATTTAAAAAACGACCACTACTCTTGTATTGCACGAAATGAATGAAGCTGATAACAGAATCACAATGCAACAAGATTCAGATGACGCAATCATTAAAAGATTCTTCACAACGGAGGACCCTTTCTCCAGGTTCTGTCAGAAAAGGCAGTGTTCCAGCCAAAGGCAATTCTATCTCCTTATCCTTTAGAGAGCACTCCTTTCCGTATGCTTTGGTTTGAAAGAAACACAAGTGCTTTCATATCCTGTCATGCACCGGATGCCTTAGCCATCTCCAGGGTTCAAACTGATCGAAGGTTGTTTTTGCGACCCAGATAGTTACCATCTAGACTTCTTATACTTAAGAATGCAATGAAGTGTGAGTTCACTAATTTATTTTTAGATGGATGGATCTTACAAGTGAGACTTTAGACAACAGATGCCTATAAATAACAACATTCTATAAGATATATGTTCTGAAACCTGTGACATGGCAAAGATGTATGTTTTTAAGTATTATCGGAGATTTTTAATAAAAAAAATATTAGATAGTGTCCGATTTGCTGGTAAAACTGTATTCAGTGATCAAAATTGACGATACAGCCCATATAAACTTATGATTAATATTTCTTCAAAACAAAACTACCTGAAAGGCTTGGAGTTTCGTTAAAATATTATAAATTTATTGTAATTTATTTGCCTAAAATAGGAAGTCCTTATGTCATATAGTCATTGTATTAGCCCAGAAAAATGGATGATTTTCTTGGCGCAACAGAACTGATCATACAATTGGACCTTTTAATCTTATACATAATAAGACAAAGGAGAGTATTTTATGCAGGTTTTCTCGCTCTTTTGACTGATATATACTTCAGAATTTTAAATCAAAGACCAGAGAAAAAGAAAACAAATACAAAACAGTCTTTTTTTGTAATTCTTTTTAATGACTATATTTAGAATTGATTTGTTTTAACTTGAAGCACGTTAAATTCTGCATCTTTCTATATAATAAGCGTTTAGGGCCCGATTTTGTGTAACAATACTGTATCTCAGTCACCATTCTGCAATAGATCAAAATTACTGCATCTATTCGGCATCTTGCTCAGATGTCTAACAAACTTATTTTGATTTTTTTGATTGAAGGAATAATACGTTATGCCTCATTCTGTGGTCTGGTCTTTTCAATTCTGTATCTTTCTATATACAAAACTGTGCCTAATCTCTGTCTGTAGAAGAAACTAGAATCATTCTTATGTACCACTACAGGAAAAAAAATCGGGTATTACTAAAATACGCTAACACCCGCTAACATTCACCAACACCTCCAAATTAAAGTCCGAGATAGACCTGTTCTTCGTGGATTAGGTAACATCAAACTAATACCGAAAAAATTTATTTCAAAGATGATTCTTTATGACTTTTTCGTTACGAACACCTACTAACATCCACTAATACCCACTAACATCGACTAACACCCACTAACACCCAAACAAAGTGGCGCAAACACCCAAAATAATATGCCAGAGTAATCGCCATCCTTTTGTGAGCCTATTAGATTACTTTTGAATCCAAAGAAAATCTCACCCTCACCCTCACGAAAACAGCTTTCTCTCTGTGTATAGTAGATTTTTAGTAGATTTAGACTTTCTAAAGCATCTAAATTTATTACACAAAAGCTTTTTTCTGAATGAAAAAATCTACTATACACAGAGAAAGGTGTTTTTCGTGAGGGTGAGGGTAAGATTTTCTTTGGATTCAAAAGTAATCTAATAGGCTCACAAAAGGATGGCGATTACTCTGGCATATTATTCTGGGTGTTTGCGCCACTTTGTTTGGGTGTTAGTGGGTGTTCGTGACGAAAAAGTCATAAAGAATCATCTTTGAAATAAATTTTTTCGGTATTAGTTTGATGTTACCTAATTCACGAAGAACAGGTCTATCTCGGACTTTAATTTGGGGGTGTTGGTGAATGTTAGCGGGTGTTAGCGTATTTTAGTAATACCCAAAAAAATCGAGATATCAGGTATCTGTCAAATATATTTCTAAAGACACACTTCTAAAATAATATGTTATAGCTCATTTTGTAGCCCGTAAAATTCTGCATCGAACGATGTATAAAGTAGAGTGGTTAACGAGAAAGTAAATCAATATTATAAACTTGAACGACGCCGACCTACCGCTTTGTGAATATGAGATTGATCTGAGAGGGGCCGATTTTGGCTCTTATCGACCCCCGTCCTTTGAGTCTTTTACCAGAAGCCTTACGAAACTTTAAAAAGAATTAGAAAAAAAGACTGTTTTGTATTTGTTTTCTTTCTCTCTGGTCTTTGATTTAAAATTCTGAAGTATATATCAGTCAAAAGAGCGAGAAAACCTGCATAAAATACTCTCCTTTGTCTTATTATGTATAAGATTAAAAGGTCCAATTGTATGATCAGTTCTGCTGCGCCAAGAAGTCATCCATTTTTCTGGGCTAATACAACGACTATATGACATAAGGACTTCCTATTTTAGGCAAATAAATTACAATAAATTTATAATATTTTAACGAAACTCCAAGCTTTCCAGGTAGTTTTGTTTTGAAGAAATATTAATCATAAGTTTATATGAGAGGTGTATGATCAATCTTGTTGACCACTGTATATTTACTTAATTTCTTGGAGTAATCGTCTGGTTCCTTGTTAGTTGTTCATAATGATCAGGAATTAAACAAAAACAGATACGACAGTTTCAAACAGAAGAGAAAATTTTAATAAAGCACTCTAGACTGTTCCTTATATAGCACAATAAGGAATTTTTTTAATTGTTTTGGCATAATTCTTATTCAGTTTTGCATTGCAAATGGTACACTTGAAACAATCTCTATGCCAGATCTAGTTAGCTCAAGTATATGAGCATGTATACATGGCTAGAGATGTTCAAATGTAGTAAACTCACATTATGGCACCATTTCTGTTCATCATTAGGATAGACAGCTTTTCCATGCTAAAACACTTTTTTGGTTTCGATGTCATAACTTCCAAATGAGCCTGGAATAAATAGATATAATAAAGAACTTTTCTTTGCTTTTTTCAAACCTGTTGGTTCAGGCGTAGAAGTGGTGCTTTAGTATTTCTAAAATATTAGTATTACTTATCAAAGTTTGATTTT